GCCCCTCCGATCTGAAGGCCGCACCGGGGCCTAGGGCGCCAAACCTCCTCCCAATAAAATACTCAAAAGCTTCTTGTTTCACGTCTCTCCAAATTGAAATAATTACATAGAACAACATATAATTACATACAATAGCGTTTGATATTAAGCGCCAAACAAACACATGTGTGCTGTAGGATGTAAGTGCTTTACAACATTGCAAATAAAAGTTGTGATTTGCAGCAATATGATCAATCAAACAGTGCTTTTGTAGAGGCTTCTGCAGATGTGCACTCAGACTATTCTACTCATATACTACTCAGCTATTGTTCGAGAGGCTGTTTTCACACAGTCAATAAATCTTACACATAAACGATGAGCACTTTCCTCTATTAGGTAGCAGAGCCTTTTAAGGGAGAATTTTACCCAATTAGAGAAGAGTCTGTCCTTGGTGAATGCAGCTAAAAGGACACATACCAATAAGTCAATACAAAAAAATGTAAGTTTAGCTTGCCTACTCTAAACCTAAAACCTATAATTACTCCAATTTGGGCAAAGTGAAAATAAAGTCAGGATTACGCAGTGTGACTTGATTTCTTTTGGTGCTTATTTGTGTAGTATTTTTGGTTCATAAGTTGGATCAGGGCAGAGCAAAATTAAAATGTATTACAATAATGAGTTTAGTCAAAATATACATAGAAATCTCTCATTATGAACTGTTTTAGGGACAATACAAGTATAATCACCTCTGAGGGAAAGCCAACATTCCAATGCCATTTGTTGAAATGTAAAAGGATATAAGAAAGGAGATAGTAATGGAATAATATAATGCCTGGTTTGTGGTTTTGATGTATGGGTATTTACGAACATTTGTCAGATCCCAGGGACCAATGGTTCCTATTTGTCTTTTTTGAGTTCTAGTTTCTGTCTGATTTTGGGGAATTGACACTTCAAATGTTTGGAGATATGAATTTCACAATAACATAATACTTTGCTGGCTTGGGGGATTATAGTACTATAGTAATATATTAAATTCAACCAAACCAAATATTACACAGGACCTTATTGGTTGATTTTCAAAAGTCAATTGCGGGAAAAGCTGTCATATCCCCATCATTTAAACTTTGTAGTTCTTAAAATGTCCAGCAGATGGCGAACATTTCAATTGCTTTGGCGCATCATAAACACTGACACCCATGGTTTAAAGTGTTCCCATGATCCATAGGATTCCTTCTCAACCTTTCCATCAGTACCCACAGTCTTCTGCAACTCCCTCTGCAGGTTTGTCAGCTCATGTAGCTTCTTTAAGAGCAACCCCTCCCTCCACCAAAAAGCATTATGGGATTTCCGCAAGTAGCACATACCAAATAATAGACCTACTACCAGTTCTAATCATGACACGATCCCAGCTCAAATTAATTAAGTGCACCACTGTAAGATATTCACCCAAAACTGAGACTAAATTTCAACTTTTTGTGATTATAATTGTATTTGCAGTCATAACAAAGGCTTGGGAATAAACACCAAAACAATAACGGCTGTAGAAATGAAAATTACTGTAAGCTTCTATTAGCAAATGGCAGTAAAATTGCAAAGTGCATCTATAAAAGTCGTTGGGTGATTGTCGGGAGAGTGGCAGTGCGAGAGCGTTGGGCCCATTAGACGTAAGATTAGGCTCTGGCGGCTGTAGCTTTCTGATGGGGCTAAGCACACACGTCCTGGACAATTAGCAGCTCTCTCTCTCACACATAAGACACACACATGTAGTGGAGAATATCAATGGAGCTGACACAAAGTGAGCAAACAAGCAGCAAATGCAGAGCGTCCTGACACGGCCCTCATTGTCATACAGTAAAGCTCCAGTGCTTTCTGATAACACTGGGACCCGGCCCTGGAATTGGTGTGAGGATAGAGCTTGTTACTTGCAATATTTCCTTATTTTCAAAGTCTAGAAGCAGAAAGCTCAGCAAGTATTAGCTCAGTTAATTGTAATAACAATTGTCAGAGTATACAAACAAACGTAATTCTGCATAATTATTGAAATTTGAAAGACACAAGTGTAATTTTTCCTCATTGATGAGTCTTATAAAGATTCAATCAATTTCTAGTTTGACTAAACTAAGCACAAGTTACGTTTTCTAGGGCTATATACTGCAGTGTTTTTCAACCACTGTGCCGCGGCACACTAGTGTGCCGTATGATATTGTCTGGTGTGCCGTGAGAAATGTGTCTACTTTGTCTAAAAATAACTGCATTCGCTGTTGACGAGCGGTGACTTGTTTTGAACTGTGGAGTAACCATGTAATACTTTTTCAAATCAGTAGATGGCAGCAGATAGCTAAGTACTGTGAAACTGAAAAATTGGATGCGACCACAGGCTGTAACAGGTCAGCATTGTGGCGAGAAAGGTAAAATTGGATGCGACCAACAAATGTGGGAGGGAGCGAGACAAGAGCTTTGTGGCGAGTGAGAAGTGAAAGTGATAGAGACGTTTTTGAAAATGAATTATGCCGTTTCTGAACAGGATTAACATCCTCCGCTCTGCCCCGGGGCAGCTGTGGCCGCGTTGTAGTGGTTTAACTATGAAATGTACAATTTTTGTACAACAGCTCTCGCGAACGCACTTCTGAACTGGGTACCGAGCGCAGACCATAGTCGAGTGGACAGAACCACAGACATGCGGACCGGACAGAACCATGGACTCGCGTTCAGGACCTCCCGTGTCCCTCATCCAAAACTCCTGAATTTAAAGCTCGGTATCCTAAATTTTTTCCATGCACTAACAATGCATGTTCTTTGTGTGAGTTATTATTTGACTATTTGGGCAGAGAGTGGATTTTCTTAGTTTTTTTCCACACAGTTAGTGCCACTTTATTCCCAAACTCTTGTTAATTGTATCGAGAAATATTAAATAAAGCTTAATGTCAAGGCCAGGACTTAAGCATTTTGATGAGAATAACTGTATATTGTGAATATAGGCTACAGAGTATACTGTATACATTATTAGATAAGATAAGATATACTTTATATATCACACAGAGTATGTACAGTATATATTTTTACATTAGTACTGTATACATTTTTACATTTTCTCCTGGAGGTGTGCCGCAAGATTTTTTCAGTGAAAAAAGTGTGCCTTGGCTCAAAAAAGGTTGAAAAACACTGATATACTGTAATTAATGTTATTATTATTATTATTTTGCTTTAGTGCATTTTCAATTTTCAATTTAATATTTGTCAAATTGTTTTGACATTGTGTTTTAGAATGTGAAATAATTTCTTGGAAAAAAAAAAAAATGGATACATTTATATCATTGCTGTCAACATCAAACATTGCATGCACCAATCCAAAAGAGTTGTTGTAAAGGAGAAATTACCAGACCTGATTTGGAGCCGATGCTTTTAAATGATTATGGCTCCGTCTATAACGTCAATTTATTACGTTATTAACGTGACATTAGCCATATATTAGTGTAGTTTTAGCATGGTATTAGTTGTAGATGGAGCAATGTTATGACAAAAAACAATACGTCTTCCTACTATCAGGGAGTCCTATAGTTGTGTGTAACATACATTATTAAACATATGACTGCTGGAATCCAGTTCCAATTAAGTTGGATTCCTTGCCAAGATGTATTTTGGATTACTGGAATCATACCACAGTCTTGTCAATGTCGTCTTCATCTGCTCTTTATCTTGAAAATGTAAATCTACAGACGCTGGCAGTGGAAATTCTAATGTTCCTAATAGTTATCACTTGTCATATTCTACTATTGTGCACTGGGGTATATGTTCCAATCAGTCTGAAGTATCTCTCCGGGTTAAGGAGACTTCACTTGGCTTAATAATAGATAAGGAGGTGGTTTTCGGAGCAGTTGCGGAGTGCCTGTTCATATTTGTCAGAATGGCACAGTTAATCTAAGTTGATTACCTTGGCTGTGTTTCATTAAGAACCTATCTGAGCCGGCGTGAGTCTGTTGAGCACTCTAGACAGTCGCTGATGATTACCCACAATGCAAAGCTCCTCATATATGCACTCACAAGGCATGTATAGCAGACACACACACATACAACCACCCAGAGACAGGCTCTGTCAGTCAAAAACACCATCAATTGAGGCCTTTTGTCCAATTTTGTCTAATTGGTTCCCCTGCTGCCTGCTCTATCTCCACCCTTCAATCATTCTGCCTTCAAAGTCAATAGGGGCGATATAATAACCCGCTTTATCACTGAGAGGTGATTCAGTGATGAACGCATAGGCCCACATCAACACTGGCTCCTGAACCTTTCTGGCCAACCTCATTTACAGCGTGGGAGAGAGAGGGGCCGCATCTGAGCGCTATATATTGAACATTTTGGAGCTGAAAGAAATGGAAAAAAAAGTGGAAAGCGTCTATACGAGTCTGCATCGACCGATAACTCACTTTGAGAGCACAAGCAGGAGAACACAAATCAAGTTCTGTTTTTAAAAGGGGGAAATCTGTAGTGTTTTTTTGTTTGAAATACCCAAAAAGGCTGTATAGTATGCCATGGTTGTACTGTTAAAGTACAATATGATGGATTATCTTTGTTGGTCTTTTGAGCAATGCTGTTCGGCAGAGCTTTGATCGGGAGGTCTGAATGGAGTGTACACATGTCGAACATTAAGCTTTGAGGGTGAAAACCATAGCATCTGAATGAATGTGAAAACGTAGGCCATCCTTTCTCATAATATCATATAATTTAGATGTGATTTTGTATTTAAATTGTATTGACTTTTCGGCAGGGGTCAACACTTCACAAAGTACAGCAATTTCTATTATTTATTTGGTATAATTTACTGCTGAATTACCTTCCTGACACAACACAATGCCACGTAATTGCATGATTGTTGTAACAAAACTTGAACAATTGAAAAGATCTTGACTTCAATTCGGACGCTTTTCTTTAGATTCACTTTTGTTCATCTTGTCAGCTGAGATTGTGTCTTCTTCAACACAATTGCTGCTGTAAAGCCAATCTGAAAGAAGGGATGGACTTACATTCGGCTGCTGGAGGGGATCTTGCGGCCGTCTCTGAACCATGTGATCTGAGGCCTGGGGAAGCTGTGGATCCGCGGCGCATGGATAAGAGCGCCGTCTCCCTGAGACACTGTCTGCGAGCGCTCCACCTCCACAAAACCCCCCATATCTACAAAGCAAGAACGGGAAAGTGTTACTAGACATAGAAAAAAACAAGTCTGTCTAAAGAAATATATAACTCACAGGAACAATTTATCGCTGTATTATTCAAGTGAATGTCAGTTACTTTTCAAACTGTGAATAGAAAGTGCCATTTTTGAGGATGTCAGTGCGGTTAGACCCGCCTATGCTGATTGGTCGACAATCCCCTTGACATTGGTTTAACTGTTCTTCTCCAGCAAATCTTACCGGGAATAGTTTTGCCAAGGGGATGGTACATTTCTAACAATACATAAGAGTTCAGTGTCAGAAATATGCATTATTCTCAAAAATGAAATACAATGTAAGTTGCTGACATCACCTTTAACTGTGTGACAGTGTTCTTTGTTTATTAGAGCTCAGGATAGTGATGTCATATTGAGAAGCATCTTAGGATTTATTGCAAGTACATAAATCAGAGTGTCTCTGCTTAGACCCCCGTGACCCAGTATATAAAGCAGAAGAAAACGGATGAACATCAATCAACACAATGTAAACGTTCTAATCTACAAAATCAAATTGTATTTCACTTGAATTTCTAGTGATACACCACAGTGACCCAATAGGTTGCTCCACAACTCCTTAATATTGTATCCCTACGGACAATCTACACAACTTTCAAACCCATTTAAGTGAATTTCCATTGAAATGGCTGTTATTTGATGTTTTACTGGGATTTAATTATGTCGAGTTAATGTGAGAGCGACATTAAGTGGCCTTCAATATTATAACGAATAATCGTTTTGAACTTCCATGAACGTAATGAGTCTCAGATAGAAAATGGAGTCCTGATTTGAAGGACTTTTCTACACTAAAAAGATGTAATATTTTGCCTTAAAGGTGAAGGACGACAGTTTTCTCATTCTGGAACCAATGCGTAAGTGAAAGGCACAACCTGCGTCACACTAACAATAGTATTATTCTGGGTACAGTTCATTCTCGGTGAGTCATCCGCAGCTTTGTAAAATGGACCATCCTCCTGTATGAAGCATGTACGGAGGCTCACTCACAGGCGACTTGCACTTCGGTGCTGCATTGCATAATGGCGCCCACTCGGTTCCTCACAATGCAACGGTAGTGTCCGGCATTCTTTCGGTCCAGTGTCGGGATCAAGTACCTGACGAAAAATTTAAAATGACATCAAAGACTATTAACAACAGAGCTCCAATCAGATGAAGCCAAACATGTGAGAGGAATTTTAACATTTTCTTTCCAAACAACACTTTCTGATAAGCAAAATGTCTCTTCCTCTCGCATAGCCCTGCCACACGTGCTCATTTAATGTCTGCAAATATGAAATTCTCGATAAGGTTTCAAGAATCAGTGATACCGGGAGCAAAACATGTGTCTGCTGTCATGATAACAGCATATACTTAGTTACCTTGGCTGTGAACAAGCAAATAAATACTTGATTAGATAAATTCCAATTCAATTGATTGGTTGACTAAAGACCTTATATCTGACCCAGACTGCATTCAGACAAATTCGATTCCAAGCAAACTATTTAAAAGCACCAGAACACATACTATAATACTATCTCTGACATAAATTGGGCAGTATAAGGCAGTATTTTTTACAGTTTTCTCAGAGTAAACCGATACTAAAATATGAAATGACTAAACTAGACTAAGACTAACAGTTCTAATAGTTCTACATATACCTTATTCATTATGAGGTCCACAGCTTTACTTGTGCTTATGGGATGATACAACCCAAACAAATGCTGGAAACTATTATGTGACTGTCCTTCATTTCCTGTGAGTGGTATGGAGGGTGGAATTATGTTTACTACAGCATCTGTTGGTGTCAGAATGATGTCATTGAGAAATTATCTCCCAGTTGTTTTTTAATCTATAGTGTGTATCCTTTTGAACATAGCCGTTTTGTTTTCATATCTATTTGATTGTACTGTATAACTAATTGTGAGTGAGTGAGTGGATGTAGTTCAGGGACACTGTGTGGAGTTGACTTCATGATAAACAGAATACAGGCATCTGGACTGAAAACATTTCATCTCTAATCAGTGAAGAGGCAGATTTCATGCCGCACTGAGCAGATAAAGTTCATGGCACTTCTGCAAATATTATGGAAGAGCAAAAACACCAGAGGACCCTCTGTAAATGTATGTACCGTGCACTAATACATTATATTACAGTCAACAATTTCTTAATAAGATTACATTAATGTTTTTTGTTTTTTTTTTACATTTTGACCATCTGAAAACAAGATTGGTATTATTTCAAGATTTGTATATTTTCTTCTCCCTTGAAAAAGAGGTTCTTAATCTCAACGAGACGCTACTGATTGAATAAAGGATAGATAAAAATAAAAAAGCAACTTTTATAACTACAATAAGTAACAGCTTGAATTTATTTATCAAATTTGAGCTAAAACAAGACATTTTAATTTGAAAATCACGCATCAAGACAGTTTTCTCAAATGAGGAAAAGACCTCTTCATTCAAGTCTTTCAATCATATTGAATATGTACAATATATATCAATTTGCAGTGTAGCACTTATGTTGAATTGTGTACAAGAACATATCTCTTTTCCATTTCGGACCAAAAAAGTAGCCCTCCGTGGCAAAAGGTCGGAGTCTACTCGATCTCTGCTCTTGCCCGGTGTTTAGTCCACAACTTACAACAGTATTAAAGTTTGAACAGACAAATAATTAAACGAGCTTCATTGTGGAGTCGCTTCCATCGAAAGAAAACATTATTAAAAAAGTTGCGATTTAAGTGGGGTATAATACTGGCCCCTTTACCCATCTCCAATGTGTTTTAGGATGTGTGCTGCAGGAGCTTTGATTAAATGGATTCCAGTTCTAGTCTCTGATCATCGCTGGTGAAGAATACCAAGCAGTGGTCTGGACTGCAGCGCACGCCCGGAGACTAGCTCATGTGAGAGGAGGGGGAGATGAGACAAAGCAAAGGTGTTTGAGGGTTAAGGGAAAGTCTGTGCGGCCGGTAGAACCAGTGATAGCAATCAGACAATGCCACCAGAGAGTGTGGGGCCGGCTCGGGATGGGCAGGCAGCGACCAGGACACAAAAACCGTCCTCAAATGAGTTCCAAACAGACTTTTATCCAGCTCAGGGCACAAACATGGTGCAGACAGATGGAGTAAACCAAAGCGAACCCCCAAAGTATTTAAACACCATACTGTATGACAATGTTAACGGAAATAAGAAAGAACATGAGGTGTGAAGTTTGAGCGCAGTGTTTCTGAGAGCTGTCACATCACAAGACAGAAACTGGGTGTTAAACATGTTGTTATTTAACAGTTTCTTTAACACATACATGCAGTAATGTTGCAGTATACAGCTATACAAGACTTCTACATCTCTTTTGTCATGATGATTTATTATTTTTTAATTGATATGCTGTGAGGGCGACAGTAGCTTAGTTGGTTGAGCATTGGCCTTTGGGCCTGAAGGTCGTGGGTTCGAGCCCACCGTAAGACCTACTTCACGACTCCCACTGATGACTGCGGTCGTTGTGTCCTTGGGCAAGACACTTCACCCTACTTTGCCCAAAGCCCCAACTGAAAGATCTCAGCTCCTGTGGACTCACCACCTGCAGGAGGATCAGTGAGGGGCTGGTGCTATGTGTACTGGGTGCAGCTCTGACTGCCACCCCCCCCCCGACCCAGAAATGGATTAAGGGGAAGAAAATGGATGGATGGATGGATGATATGGTGTATATTTTATGGCCTGAATATTTATTGTCTGAACATTGTCTATGTAGGAAGATTTATTTTACCGTTTTCTTTTAATAAACTTACATTGTAGTTGTACAAGGGGGGAATTAGGTGTTTATTGCATTTTTTTTACTTTTTCAAAATTGCATATTAATATTATAATATATTGCCTGAAAAAATGAAAACAATAAAACATAAATACTCATAGGGTTGAAACCATGGTGGTGGTGGAAGCTGAAGTGACCTGACAACATGAAAGAGAGACGGTCCAATAATGTTGTAGGTGATGGGGAGGAGGAGGGTTGCTGCACAAGCTGAGGCTGAGTGCAACGGATTAGAGACCATTTGTATGCAGCGAGTGAAGGCTGATGCCAGCACAGGACTGTAAAGATGCCAGCTGAATATGTGTCTGTGGGGAAATATTCCAATCCTCCAGTCTACACCTTTGCTTTAAGACCATATCTTGGTGGCAATATGTTGTCCACTTCTTCTTGATGTTCATGACAATAAGGACAATAAAATAATATAACTTACAATGAAATCCTAACCAAAGAAACACCTTCACTTATGACATCCCGTAGACTCTTGAATAATTTATGATTCTTTAGGTGTCGGTTAATTAAATGAGTACAATGCTAAAAGATTGAGGCGTTCACATTTCAAGCAACAAGAAAACCCGACCTAACACCACGTATGCCCTATAGTGACCAACAGTCCAGACAATATGAGATTTGAGCCGGAGATGCTGGACTTTCTCTGCTGACATTTAGGTCGTGAAGTTGGCCCCTGACTCTTGCGGTTCATAGGTGGAGATGCAATAACAACTAAAAATAGAAGCGGAATCCACAGTAGAGGAAAACTACTCTCAAATTCTCAATGCAAATTTACTCTCAAACTACTGTGAAGTCGCTCGAGCAGACACTGGATAATGGACACCTGGTGCCAGAATCAACTGGCTGGTAAAAACAATTTATCTGTGCCTTTTGACAGCTCATTAGTGCATTGCTCTGACATTCAACAATCGGATTTATTGCATTGCTAATTGTTTACTGTGACAACAATCGGAGCACTAACATAAAACAACTTTCAACGATATTAGTGCTGACAAAAAACTGTTGTTCAAGTTTAATTTTGCATTCATCAAGAATAACTTTATATTTGATTGCTTTTCAGCGTCTCAAAAATAAGGTGCAGAAAACTAAACGAAAATTAGTCAGTAACAATCGTATCAGCCACGTCAACATTTCGCTGATTTGCAAAGACAGCCTTTTCCATAGGTTGTATCATCTGTATAGAGCCACATTGAAATTCTCTCGCCCACACTAAAATACAATGAGTGCAATGTGCTGAACTTTCCAACAATAAAAAGTGAACGCTGTAGAATCTGAGAGAAATACAAATGTGAATTCGTTTTGACGATCCCAAAACACCTGATGCTCCGTCTCCTGAGACATCCACAGCCTTGGATAAATCGATGGAAAAAAAACCCCTCTGCAACGTGAATAGGAATGAGCAATCCAGCTATTAGTTACAATTACGGGTCTTTAAATGCCCTCGTGTAGTAACCTAATTAGCACTGATGATGAAAAATGAAAAACAATAACAGCAGCTATAGGAGGTGTAATAGTGGCAGTATAAGCAGCCGTTCTTACCTGTATTCCAAGGAGAATTTAGTCAATTCTGTCCCATTATAAATCCATTTGAATTCCAACGGCCAGCTTCCCTCCGCCATGCAAGTCAGTACCAGGCGATTCCCCTCCAAATGAACCTGGGTCTGGGGAGGGTCCATTTTGAAGTAAGGCGGAACATCGTCCACTGAAAGAGAAAACAAATAGAAGAGAAAAATAAATATGACAACAGAATATTGAGCAAAAACAAAACCCAAGAATAAGTCGAGAAGCTATTTCCATTTTCTCTCTCGAACACTCATTCGGAACTTGAAGGTCAACGGAGAAGGCTGCCAAAAGAACCGCATGGAATAAGTTGTTAGCGCAAAGCAGCTTACTCTTTTATTTCAAATTGGAAATGCACTGCCAGAAAAGAGGCAGCAGGGCAATTTGGGCAGAGGAAGAAGTGTAAATGAACACTTCTATACAAGGGAAGCGGAGTGAGCAGGCAGGAGGGAGTCAAAGAAGACGCCACACGGGAAGCTTCAATGTCTTTAACGGTAAAACAATATTGTCGGAATCGTCTTGTCCGACATAATGGGTGTTGCACTGAAAACAGATTTCAGTCCTATAACTTTGTCCTACAATTTGAGATGTTTAGTCGCAGTGTCCAGAGTGGTGGTTATGCCTCCACACCGGACAATAAACAATACAATTCCATTTTTGTAAAAGCCGGGGTACCTCAGGGTGGAATGTCTTGTCTTGAGACTCGTTTTCCCAAAGAGCTTCTTGAGGTTTCCTTGAAATGTAAAGCCTAGCGTACATCGACAGAGTAACTGGAGACAACTAGTTGCGAGGCGGCTTTTGGCGACTGAGAGGAGATGATGGGAGATGATCAGTTGCCGAAATCGGTCGATGTGAGCGCTCTTACAACTGGAGATAAACAGTCGATCTCCGGATTCAGTCAGATGCCGTGTTCTACTTTTCGGCAACTAGTTGTACTCAGATCCGGAGATATCACCTGATGTGCGCGCTCCAACAACATGTGTTGAGAGTGTGATCATGTGACGTATTGCGCGCCCTCTACAGTTTATGCCAGAAAACACACTGTAGTTGAGGCCAGTTGCTGTCGATGTACGCGCTGTTATTCCCGAGACTGGTCTGCTACTAGGAGTTGCCCATTTTCGCCAGATTGTCGATGTGTGCGGGGCAGCAACTCATATGCGAAGGATATAATCAGTTGCCAGTGTGATGTACGCTAGGTATTAGGTGCAATGCAAATGCAATGTATTATTATAAACAACAGTTTGGCACTTTGCAGCCACAGCCACTCCAATGTATGTTGTTGGTCTCAATAGAAAGAGTTGTGTAAAGTATGTTGGGAACAAATCAGGCCACAACATTCTGTCTTCATCTTATTAGAAAACGTCATCTTTTGCATACTGACAAGAAGTGCTCTGTCACTATTTGAAGCTTTGGGCTGAGAGCTGATTGGCTGTGTGACAGTGGTGCTCTCTTTTTCACTTTTCTGTCTGAAAAAGCTGAGCTGATCTAAAGATGTGACAGAAGCAAAACATACGGTAGATGCATAAGACAATGAGTGAGAGAACCAAACCGTTTAAGAACCAGGAACCCATGGATTATGTAGTTATTTTGTGCGTTACCTCAGCTTTAACCCAGACAAGCTGTGTCAATAGATCTATTTCTTTATATATGAGACACATCAAAGGTTGTTCACTTGGGTTAGAAAGCAACAGCTAACGTTTTGCATTATTCATGTGTTTTCCAACTCAAGCAAACTATTTTCTTAACACAAACAATATCAGTAATTCGCCTAAATGCCGCCAAATGTTTGTATGATTAACACCTTCTGAATTCTATGTTCCTTGTATTACATGTATTATATTGACAGTTGCTTCAATGCACAGGGTAGACTTTCATCTTGAATCTTGATATGATGGTATTTTTTATTTCAACCTGAAAACCTGTTGGAGCATAGTCTCTAGATGAATTCACTTCTACTTTGTATCTTTTCACCAGTGAAGAAAAATCCAGTGCAGATTTGGAAACATTAGAGATTGCAGAGAAAGTAGGAAGCCGTGGGGTGTTGAAGCCGGTTTTAGACAACACAAAGTTTCCCTGCCTTAAACCCTGCGCCTCTGACAGGATGAGTTATGCCTCGCGCCTCCCTCCATTTATCTTTATAGTTCCCTAATGCAGCCAGATTATACAGGCCCCATCCGCAACGCTGCACTCCGCCAGCGCCGCCACCTCAGCCTCTAAGGTGAATCGGCAAGGTCCATGCGCAGGGCTCGGAGACAAAGCACTTTCATTTGAGCTGATGAAAAAGCCATGATCGGGCTGTATTGATCTGGTCGGCCAGCTACAAGCCACGGGCGACACTAAGGCGATCCTGGCCTCTGTTTGTGGCGTGCTAATTAAAGTATGTATTAATAGTTGCAGTGGGTCGCCGACGGCCTGAAGCGCGACGCACGCAGTCAAGGTCTGCCGTTTCCAGCTTATTACACTGTCTCTTTTCTACACAACAACAGGCGGGAGATTTGAGAAAGAATAAACGTGGAAGAAGTACATGAAGCGATACACATTTACTCTGAACCTATGTACTATTTCAAATCCCAATATTCTTTGAAAGTTTAACAAGTGAAGCTCCTTAGAGTCCTTATAACGTCCCCTGAGAAATTGATGTTTCACAAAATTCCAATTGAGTCTTGCATTCCACCATTTGTATTTTATCAGAAATGTTCTATCTGTGGCTCGGGAGCTACCAGTAGCTCACCTCTCCCTTTCAGGTAGCTCCCAAAAGGATTCAAGAATTTTTCACATCAGCTGAATGATTCCCTTTTGATCTATTTTACATACATTTTTACATTAGTGCAGGTTACCGTGCAGTATAGTGGTATATTCACCCTCACTGTGTGAAGGAGAGGTTCCACAGGTATTTCCTTCATGCTGCAGTCAGACTGTACAATGAGAACTGCTGAGGCTGTACATGTCATTCATCTGCAAACAGAGTAAATACACTTATGTGCAACTAACTCAACTTTCTTAATCGGCCGTCATCGTCTCCTTCAGAACACATTTTAACCCCAGCTGATTTCACAATACTGTTTGGACAAGACTGATTTTTAATACATGTTCTTAAAATGTATTCATTAATTGATTATCCACAATTATTCCAAATGGATGATATAGCCTACAGTAGTCGGAATGTGTTAAAAAGTATTGTGATTATTTGCAAATCATTATTGTCTGCCAGACAGTAAAAGAATAACTCTGCACAAATAAGTCACACATAAGCAGCCATGCACTCACAGAGATATAGATTTGCATACACACAGCCACAATCTCGTTACACAAACATATCCTCCATTTCTCCATCGCCCACAAACCAAAACGCCATTTGTCAAAGTTTTGAAACTCCAATTTCTCCTTGTTTGCTATACTTTGTTTTTCTCCTGCATGAACCTCTCCCCGGTCAAACCCATCGAGCACTTGTAACAGATCTGCACCTGAACCAAATGGAAGGACCCTTTCCCCACCAGCCTGGAGTGCTGGTACGCTGTAATTTCATCCACTAGTGAATGCATTTGACAAAAACACACACATAGCACCACATTTCTTTCCATTATTTAAGCCTGACTAAATCCACAAGACAAAACCTGACTGCAGGTTTCAGTTGGTGGAAACGGTTCATGGGACTTTCAGGCACTAATGTAATTCCACAAACTCATTCCTACCAGAGAACTATGGACATTTTGGTGGTGATGTGGTGGTAATAAGGTAAATGTAGAAAGCATATGTGCTATGTACGAAAATGGAACAGAAGGGGCTGAATGCGCTGTAATCATCACATCATTATGTGCCATTTCTTTGTTCTTGATGAGTGATTTCCTAAACAGGGGATATCACGGAACACCAGATGTCTGCTGCCTTTTTATTTGGTAACTGGGGATAACCAACATGTTCAGACTGTTGGACCTGGATTGAGACAAGAGATCAAGAAAAATTAGACAGCTGTGCTGTTTGTATTGGAACACAACATTATTCAAATCCAAAGGAAATGTCATTGTGTGGGAATACTAAATTTAAATGAATGGACAAACTAATCAAACAGAATTATAAGATAAGATAAGATATTCCTTTATTCGTCTCACAGTGAAGACATTTCAGTGTCATCGTTGCGCACATTACAGCAGAGAAAGAAGGAAAAAAGAGCTCTCAGATTGCACACATAAAAGAGTCTATTATTTAAGATAATAGACAATTTGATATACAACAGGAACATTTAATACATACATTTGTCACAAGTTCAATCTAAAAACAAACTCCTCCAGATAACTCTTGGCCTCTTCTTGACAAGAACTGCACTGATAGAATATTCCATAAATTGTTATATGCCTATATAGAATATGCACGTGGGTCAATGTAAGTTATTAAGAAGAGTATGAAATCGACACCAAATCTTATTACACATGAAAAATAAATGGGGGCAGCAAAATTACAAAGAAGCTTTCTGAATGAAATAGTGTTGCAGGAGCACAGGCCCTAGATCTCACCGTGAAGATTATATCCATAAGCCTTCGCACAGTGCTCTTCAGTGGAAAGCCACAAATTATTTGTCAAAATGTCCACTGCATTTCCCATCCTGCAATGCCACCAGGACAGTCCTTCTCAAATAGTGGGGTGGGGGCCAGGGGACCCACCTGCTTATACATCAAGACTACACTGGAGCTGGAGGATTTTACCTGTGGTGCATGTTTTGGGTGTTGGGGGAAATTCAACCAGACACTCGTCCTCAGAAACAAAACATCTCAGGCTTGTTGGCTCTTTTTTCTGTGGCGCATGAGTGCTTCTCACTCAGCCCGCATGATATAAGTAAGTCAAATCATGTTTATTCATATGCCACATTTCATGCACCAAGGTAACACAATGCACTTTACAATTAAAAAAAGAATGTGTTACAGCGCACTGGACTGAACCAGGTTCCTGCGCATGTGGCGAATCTGAAGAGAAGTCCTCTTGCAGACTAAACTTAAATGGGGGTATAGACTGCAAACACTTGCTTTAAGAGGTCCAGGGGCCAATTCCTCAGCAGTGAACTGTGAGACCTAATGAGTTTCCAACAAAGATGCTCTTGTCTGGCCCTCATTCTCTTGCCTCTACAACACTGTGCTTTTGATCTTCTCTGAGAACAGCTGGGGTCAACAACTGCTGCTGGTAAACCATGATGCCACTGTTTATTTGTATTTTTTGATAATGATGTCTGTATGTTCAAAATGTATTCTTCAGTGCATGTATATAAGTATATCCTGGGTTTAAAATATGCAATAATGGCCGCTTACACAGTCGATGATGTGCTATAAATTGGCCCACCACCTGTTGAAAGCCTTACATATGCAATGAAATAACTGAGAAAGTTGAAAAGTTCACTTAGTGCAGGCGTACACGAGTGAAGGCATATGGTGCGCATGTTGTGACTAATACAGGAACAGATGGAACTCTTCTATGCTTGCAAATTATTATTAATAAGGTCGCTACATTTTGGGTTAGAGCATTATCTTGTTGAAGAGTGATATTCATATTGTTTTAGGACAACATAACAATCTTTATATATGGCTCATTCTGACAGACCCATTACTTGCTGGTCTTCTAGTACTAGGACTGTTGTACTGTCATGATGTCAGTGATCACTAAACAGTTTCCTAGAATAATCGCAAGACGGACATTTGATTTGGTCACATTCAACTAGTGTTTCCTAAAACTGCGGTCTCTCAACAATGTTGGACAGACCAACTCCATTGGCAAATAAAAGTATATTAGTCCTGGACAAAAGGCCCATGGAAGGGGACCTCTTCTTTATTGAGGTTTTTTATTTTTCTGATTTTCTTCAGGCTGGGGGGATGCTACAGAAACCCTTTTGGTAAATTATTGCGAACATGGCATCTGTGTGTCTGAACCAATGACTGTGTTAATTGTTTGATTTTCTCATCTGCTATTGGCAATTTGTAATCTGCTGTTGTGATGTTGGGCAGTACAGAAATGTATTTGATTATAACATGTACAAGATTTCATTCAAACCCAGTATTATCAATAAAAGTCAACTTCCTATTCCCAAGGCAAAGCGGTACAAACGATGCCCTGTTCAACAAAATGACCAGGTGAGATTCACACAGAACCAAAATGTTAAGAGATGATACAAAACGCTTTACCATTGCCGCCGTGAGCTCCCCACCTGGCACGCATTAGCACATCCCATTCACGGCAGCTATAAAAACACCTTATTCTAACCTGACAGGCGAGGTTGAATGGTGGCGCGGCTCCAGCAGGGATCCCCGCTGCCCACACTGAATGGTAATGGCCGTGAGACAAAGACCACAGGCGGCGGGCTATAGCTTTACAAACCAGGGCCATTGTTGCCCGTCACTGCTGCTCGCTGGCATGCAATCACAGAGAGGGGTGTTCACTTCAGCTTTTGTCTGCCTTGGTCCTATTTGGAGCTTCACCTCTTCAGCGGTGTGGTACTCAAAGCAGCAGGGAGCGAGCGCTGTCCTGTGTTTTATCCTCAGGCTGCTTCGGTAACGGCATCCTAACTGCCACATTCGCACAAACATAGCACCGAGATGCGGCACGAGAAAAAGTCCTATTAAAAGTCCAGGTGCTGCACTGTGCTTGGCTGCCCGGAATAGGTTGCAATGATAAGCCACGGATGCAACGAAAACTTTAAAACTTTTCTCACTTGTTAAATTCTTTGTATTGCAGAGAGTTGGGTATTAGAAGGACAAAATCAGGACATGCCAAAAGTAAAAATGTAAAAGATAAAGGTTGAAATGTATCTATACATTGTCTAAAACTGAATCAAAGCCAGAGAATGGATAGTGGACACTTTCTACCAATATTAAAACCACTATCACTACTACCCATTACTACACCACTACCACAACTACAGACTACATGAGATTTGCAGACAGAGAGAATAGGTCTAGTCTGTACCTCATCACTCTCCCTCCTCGGCCCAGACATACACTCTTACATATGCACAAAGCTTGGCCACTCCAGCGGCCACCTCCAGTTAACCTCTCGCTGCGTCTTCTCGTCCAGGGAAATTTAGCGTGGTCATTTAGCCTCTCCAATCGGACTTTAACGCCTGAGATGAGACGCGCTTAGCCCCTCTGATGGGGGTGATGCAACAGTCATGGCACTCACCTTGGCCTTGAAATGGCTTGGTGAAAGGTTGTCGCTTGTACTGGGGAGATGTTGGGGTTAAAAGCATCCAAAACACCTCCCTCTAGAATCCAAAGTATGCTGGGACATGTTGAGTGGATGCAAGATATAGGTCCGGGTAGTTGAGTCATAAAACACATAAAATACGGCTCCCCGTACACAAACACCAGATGACACCCGCCCATCTTGAAGGTCGACCTGCTCTGTCACTTTGTCGCTGCCTGCTGTCACCGTGACAACAGACACCCCACCGATTTGCACTTTATCACTTAGGGGAGTCAGGAAAAAGGATTAGGCTGGGACACTGCAGAGAAGGCTTGCAAAACGCAACTGGTTATATGTCAAAGAAAAAAATGTATAGATACAAGGATCTTGGTCAGACATGGCCAGTCCATGGATTAGTCAACTGGCAAAATCTCTCATGACTATCTGAGATACAGTTTGAGAGCTGGATCTGGCTCCAATGTATCATAAATACAAACATTTTCAGCAAATTTGGCACTTCGGATTTTTGCAGCTTTCCCATATCCTTGAAAACTAATAGAAATAATTAAAAAAATAATGAACTAAAACGATTTTTTTTTAATTTGCCTAAACATATATCAGTGAATGCATTTCAAATGCAGATGGCCACAAATTGTCACCAAAACAGCATATCTTGCAAGAAAATACAACTTTCATAATAAAACATTGAGATTATGTCAGAATATAGCCTCCTAAACCATTCAAACGTCATGAATGCAAATTGCTATGTTAATTACTGTATACTATCTAGAATTGCAAAGACTCCAATGCGATGGCTAAACACTAACTAAAGCCGCAAAACACAAACGATAAGCTTAATGACAAAAACAAGCAGAACTTTGAGAAGTGATGCACGGTGAGGGCTGGAGGGGTGGGCGTGAGGGCCGAACATTTAATGGAAGAGGTGGGGTGTCCTCCAGCACCAGGCGGCAAGGTGAAGCCACCCATTACGACAGAAGCCAAACAAGCACGCCAGGCCCACAGACAGGCTGAAGATGAAGAGCCCATCTCCTCCAACACTCATTTGGAGAGATAGCCCGCCGATCTGCATGCTGCAAGTATAACGGCTCTAGTCCATCACGGCCCCATGCCCCTGCCCTCCTCTCAATGGTTTAAATTAAACTTTGATACTATTTTGTGACGTCTTTCAATGTTACAAGTGCTCAATATGGACTTCAAGGCCCATGTCTGTGTGCGGTGATGTCTGGCTTCAAGGTAGACAGCGATATTAAAATGACACAGTGACGGCAGCATTTAGAGCTGTGTGCTGTGCGAGGACTTGCAATCATCTGAAATCTAAATATAGTACCTCCATAATGTAAAGATGAATAAATACAAACAACAAGAACACTCAGAGAGAGGATAAACCGGCCAAAGCCATGGATCACACCAACTTTTGAATGCCATCCCATCTTTACGACAAATTTCAGATCAATCAATCCAACAGTTTTTGTGCTATCTTGTCTACAGACACACACACAGACCCAGATGTAAACACACACATACACACACACACACACACAGAGGTGAACACATTAGCATAACCACAAATGCAAAAGTTACGCTATAAACCAGGCATGTCCAAACTCAGGCCCGGGGGCCAAATGCGGCCCTCAGTATCATTGTATGTGGCCCTCTGCCTTGCTAACCCAAAGCAGTCTTGGAGATCATAAACACAAGCTCACTGTGTCATCCATCCAACTTCAGCTCAGCCAATATAGACCTTGTTCTAAAGCACAGTATGTCGCTGACTTTATTTGCACATACTGTGGTTTTTCAGTGTATCACTTCTGTTAATGGTGCGACTGTAGCTAGTGAGATGGTAAACATATGTCATTCAGCCAACTTCAGCTCCGTTATAGATCATCATAAAGCTCAGAACAGCCCGATGCCAGTCAAGACAGCTTTTCAGTCTGTGATGTCGGCCCCAGGACTAGTCTGGTGAACTAAAGTGGCCCTCTTACTAAAAGGTTTGGACACCCCTGCTATAAACAAACTACAAATACAATACGGTGTTGCACATGTGTATAAAAGGCGCTCAACTCACTGATTGAATACTGGATATCTTTGTATAGAATTTCTTCTTTCTCTTTCTTTAAAATGAGCCTCTTCCATCAATATCCATCAAGGCATCACGTAAAAAAAAATCCAAAATGGATGGGACTAAAGTAACATCATTGACATTTATAAAGCAATACATTGATAAACCCAGTATCGGCATATTGTCAGTGTTGAGATAAATCACATCGTATCGTGATTTGTGATACATGGCTGTTTACATTTTATTTTTATTTTGTGCCTATGAAGCACTTTTGGCACCTGGTGTTGTTGCAAATGTGCAATACAAATAAAGCTGACATTGACCATAACAGGAACCCGGTGATTCACAGCCCTATTCTTAATCATTTATGAGTTCACACTGTCCAGTAAACACAGAGGTTTTTATTTGTTCTCTTTGCAACCTCTAAATGATTTATCTTCCCTTTAATGCCCATTTAGGATGTTGGGTTTGGATGTTTGCTTGCTTAAAACGTTGTTAATCGCGATGATGCTCTCTGAAGTTCCGGAAAAGTCCTGAGGTCAGCTGTGAAAAAAGCTGCAGCAGCATCACAACAGTGTGTTTTGCCTTTCTCCGTGGGTCCATGAGTAATTGATGTGATTAATTGAGGTGTAATGTAGCGCAGTGACGTGTCGGGGTTGGCACACTGCTGGGGGCCTTGGAAGTGTGTGTGCTTGTGCATGTGTGAATTTAGGCACATCTATCTGATCCAACCGCAACACAATTAGAAGCATCATCCGGCCAACAAATGGAGTTTTAATTAGGAGTGAAGACCGCGCAGGAGGCCAGTCAATGGGCAGACGATTGAATTATCTGGCCACAGAGTGAAGGGGAGAAGAATAATCTCACACACAGCGGCACGTGCACCTTCTGCTTGGGATTCCTCTCTGCTCCTCGCTCCACACCGTAGCACGTCTGTCTGATTCGCACTTTCTCGTCTCCTATATAAAACTTTTCTCTCTGCTTTAGCACATCACACTCATCACACTCATCACACATCACATTCTTTTCAATGTGTTTTGGCGGTTTTCTGATCTTAGTCAATACGGTTCTTTTCTTCCTTCTTCACATAACTCATAGTTCATGAACCCCTTCTGTCATTTTGTCAGACGCTTTTAAGAGGTGGGATTTGTTTGTTCTTTCCACAATTTAGCTGAACTGAAATACATTTAAAAAAATTGTTTGAGTGGGTTGTAAATACTGTTTTAATAATATTGCCAAGATAATTGTTTTGGCAATTTTGAATATCTTGATTTCATGGACTGTCTCCAGTTTGACCATCTGCCACACTACCTGCACCATAACACGACCCCAAGAACACGCTCTTACCTATGGTTCCCGCCAGTGCCGCTTACAAAATCACACTCTTTCAAGTCCAATAATCCCTCTCTCCGGGCGCAGGTGCTCTCAGATTGTCATTTATGGCCAGGACCTTACAATTATATTCTATATGTTTTCTCTATATTAGAAGGCTGCAGAGCGTCACTTAATCTGATTCAAGCCTAGATCTTTTTCAGTCCTGATTCAGACCTGGTTTAGTAAGACCAAACCTATGGAACGCTTTCCCTCAATGTTAAAACAGGTCTCTTGTTGTTTTTAATCTAATTTTAAGACCCACTTGAATGGAGGGAAATCACAGCATCAGGTAAGAGGTGGGAGTCCTCCTGCATGTGCCACCAGCTGACCACGCCTACTCAGGAAGTAGCATCAGCTAATAAATGACACGTCACCAAGCAGAGTGACAATTCTGAATATGTCTTGCAGCTCTGCAGTCAAAACCTGTTAACAAGGTAATACATCTAATTTGTCTTTCAAAAGAACCAAAAACACAATTTAACTTGACAAGACAAATTGAACCTTTTGAATACTGTAGATGTGATTCCTGCGTCTTTTTGGAAACTTTAAACACCCCAAATCCACCAGAAAACCTTTGAAAATGTGATGAAGTTGTGTATCCAAATAGATGGCGCCTGTGATGCGCTGCTGCCTGAGCCCAGAACTCTGCACCGGGAACATGTGAATCCACAGCAGAGGCGCCTCCATCACTCTCTATCGCCGCTAACAAGGTGGCACCCAAGGACAACATTTTGTTTTGATCGATCAGAATTATAACTATGGTAACGCTTTATATTAAGGTGTGCTTGTTAAGTATTAATAAGGTATTAATAGACATTAGCAACATGCTTATATATTGCTTATATTAAGCTGCTCACTTCACTATTCTCTAAATGATGTTGTTCTAGTTATATGCTTTTAAGCATTTAATAAGTAATTAGTAAGATACTTATTAAAGGAGGAATATGTTTATAAATATATGAATAAGCTGCTTATTAAACTATTATCGATACCATGTTAATAGGCCACTAACAATATGCCTATAAAGATATTAATACGCTGCTTATTAATAGGCAATAGTGGTAATAGGCCACTAAAAATATGCGTTCATAAACTGCTTATTACACTATTTTGCAGTACCACAGCGCCCCCTGTGCCCATGGGTGGGACAGCTATAAGCTAGGAATACACTATCCAGTTATTATTATAGTTCCATGGTTGTGCCACAGGTGCGTTGTATACATGGATCTATTATAATAACTGTATAGGGTATTAATAGCTTGTAGCTCGGGAGATTCTCGTGGTACTGCAAACTAAATTCACGTGGGCTACCCAGAAATTGTCCCCATAGAACTCAATGTAAACTAAAACAGCTCGACCTCAGCAGACAGAGAACCTACAGCTTTCATAAAGGTCGGATTTTGTGGGGCTTTTAGTGTCCCTTGTCATCCTGAACTTTTTTTCTTCTTAAATCCTTCAGTTTTCTTTAAATCCACATTTTACTGCCACAAACTCTACTCCCGCTCTAACTCCCACTCTGATCAGCAGCTCTGATTGGTCAGAGCGCGGCCCCTATGTGCACGTGCATTACAGCCACGCACGCGTATTTGGCGCAAAGCATTATGGGAGCTCGTCAACTGCGCAGAACCGGGAGGACCAGACGATGCCCAAAAATAGGCGAGTTCCGCTAATAGGGGTGTGACGATACTTTCTCCCGCAATTTTTTTTTCTCCTTTTTTTTCCGTTTTTATTGGTATCAATACTTAATATATGGCTACATTACGCATCTCCATTCTATTTATCATGAAATAAAGAGTATTTTTTATTTTATTTATGCCATAAATTGGCATATTGTATATTTCTGACCAATATATCAATAATCGTCATATCGTGATAAAATCGTTATTGTAATCTTTATCGTGAGCTTTGTATCGTATCGTATCGTGAGGTACCCTTAGGTTCCCACCCCTGTCCGCTAATCTCTCAGGCTCGTGAAGTCAGTTGATTCACTGTTTTGTCAAAGCCAAATTCATTAACAGAGCAGGTCGGAGCATGAGTGGGTTCATCATGGCTCCTTGAAGTTACTAACAAACTTTTGGCACAAACTTAATTTTGATATTTTTTTTCATTTAGACTTTAATTGTTGCTATTTGAATAAATAAAAACATCTTAGATCATTGTTGTGTTTTTTTCTGCATTAACAAAAATGCTCCTCGCTTTAGATTAAGGTACTGCAAAATAGTGTAATAAGCAGTTTATTAACGCATATTTTTAGTGGCCTATTACCACTATTGCCTATTAATAAGCAGCGTATTAATATCTTTATAGGCATATTGTTAGTGGCCTATTAACATGGTATCGATAATAGTTTAATAAGCAGCTTATTCATATATTTATAAACATATTCCTCCTTTAATAAGTATCTTTCTAATTACTTATTAAATGCTTAAAAGCATATAACTAGAACAACATCATTTAGAGAATAGTGAAATGAGCAGCTTATTAATATGTTTATAAGTACATATAAGGAATATATAAGCATGTTGCTAATGTCTATTAATACCTTATTAATACTTAACAAGCACACCTTAATATAAAGCGTTACCATAACTATAAAGAAAATATACTTT